TGATAGCAAATAACACTTCAATTCTATGAAAAATAAAATTCTTATCCTTCACATCAAAAATGGCGCTCATCTCTCTTCTGTTTGTTTTTTCCTTCTGTTTATTTATTTATGTTAACGAAACAAAACAAAGGAGGGATCCGCATAAGACTGGAAATCGGCCCACTATATCTTTTGTTTAAAATAATTCAGTGAGTAGTAGAAAAGTATTATCAGTTGTTTTTAACTCATTTCGCGTACATTTGATAACTAAAATCCGAGTAATTCTTTGTCAATAGGGTGCCAATAGTTCACCCCTTAAAGAGCAGCTATAGGTTACGTAAAAGGTGTTTTTCTCATGTTTCTTTTGCGTAGACGACAAAGTAAATATATCACCGGATAGCCCCGAAAATTCTCTACAGAATGTGTGGTACATAACAGTTAATCACAGTACTTCGATAGCAGTAAGACCCTTAGAATAATCCACGTATACAACATAGTAGACAGTCCTCGCTGTTATAGCCCTTTTTCCTTCCAAACAAGAAAACATACATTTTTCTATTATATGCCATTTTGAAGCTCATGCAATTTGCTACAAAGTGAGCTGGTCAGAATATCTAGACAGGAGGGACCAGTCATTAACGATATGCAAAAGAAGCGTTTGGGTATAATATATGCCGCACAGTGTGTCATAATCATAAGAACTCCTTTGTTTTTGAATCTTCAGTAACGGCTGAGACCATATCATCATTTGCATATCGCCATTTTATCAGGAGCGTTATAGACAGCCGGGAAAACTATTTTGTTTAATGGAGCAAAGAATTATGAGGAAGATAAAATATCTCCCGGCTGTCTATAACGCTCCTGATAAAATGGCGATATGGTCTCAGCCGTTGACCCGAATAGCCGGTTGAAGCGCATTTTTTATCAGTCAAAGATGTTTGTTTAATCTAAGCGCTGTTAACGTTATTTAGTCTCTTCTATTGTTTTGGCAGTGAGCTCTATTGAATGAGCTCAACCTTTTTTAATTTTGACCAATTTTTGATAAGATAGGATGCGAAATAGAGCGTGACGGAATTCCACTATTCTGCATTTTGAGCGAAAAAATGACTTCTTATAATTTGTTACTTTATCACCGTAAGAATGATGATGATTCAAAAGTATTGGAAATATGTTAAAAAACCTGTCATGTTGGCTTAACAATAAAATCAGATGGTACAATTAAGAAACGTGCTGATCATGACCATTTGCCAAATGAAGCTGATAAAGAAGTATTTAGTATACGCCAAAATTTAAAACGCCAAGTGGTCGAATCACCGCTACCAATTGATGCTATCGTCGCTCAAACATATACTGGTCTCCAGAATTCAACCGTATGTCAAGATGTTGTAATTCAGTTACCATTTATTGCAACAATGAGAAATAATCTTCAAAAGGAACGTCGCAAAATAAGACCACCACTCCCCAAGAATATTAGCGATTTACCACATCCAATTCCACCTAACTACTAAAAGAGTTCAAATGGTGAACAAGTTGTACTTCTAACCCAGGAAACATATCAGGGGATTGTATAAAACGTTTTCCACAACTTAATTTTTCAAAATTCTTTTGGAAAACGGTTTTTGACACCTTTGATTCCACAAAAGATTTTAGGAAAAATCGATAATGCAACTGATGCATAAATTACTGTGACATCCCTATGACCAAGCATGAGACACAGGCTACTCTTTTATTTTCTTCTTCCGTCTTTTCTTTTCGCTTTCATATTATGTTTGATTCTAAATTTTTATTATGTAATAGCAAGAAGTACAGGCTCGACAACAGGGAAGTATGGACGACATATCCACCATAAAATCTAACATTACTATGTCTGACAGTGTACAAATTGCGTCTATGAATATAAGAAGTTTGACGTCGCAAATAGATTACGTGAATGCATATCTGGCCCTAAACCGTCCAGTAATTTTATATTTAACTGAAACGTGGTTGGATGATAGTGTTCACAACAGCGTGATAGATATTTCTTTTTATCACCCACCTTTATGTTTTGATAGAGATAGGCATGGCGGTGGATGTGCAGTATATATACGAACTGATTTTCATTCTTTGCTCCTACATGAATTTGAAGCTGCACAGTTTGAAATACTTGCGCTACGTATAACACTTAGTAATAAAATGAGTATGATTACTTTAAATGTCTATCGCTCCAAAACTACTTCTATACAGAAATTAATTAAACAGTTAGATAGTGTTTTAGAGGAAATCAGTAACAGCAAATACAAGAATGATATGATTCTGATGGTCGGGGACTTTAATTCCCACTATCAGCCGTGGTCTATTAGTGACATCCCATCGACTAAGGAAGGTATAGAACTTAATGATTATCTCGCATCAATATCTATGTATCGGGTAGTGCGTGGAATTACTAGAAATGCGTCTAGAACATGTCTAGATTTAGTCATTGCTCAAAATCCTTTATTTATACCTGATATAAAAATGGAACCAACTCTTTATCGAAGTGACCATAATCTTAGAGAATTTCGATTAAACGCTTGTCTGGACAGAAAAGACAAAATTTTTCGCACTATTTATGACTATAACGTGGTGAATTGGGCGTTAGTAAATGAGCATTTCAGAGAAATTCCAATTGACCAGCTGTTAATAATAATTCTTAATAATAATCACTACAGACAAATGTTCTTATTCATTATGATTATTATTTATACATCATTATATAAAAAGATTTTTATTCTATTTTTATTTTATTCGTCAAACATACAAAAGAAAATAGTATTTTTTTTCATATTGTCAATATAAAAAACTTGTAGTTTGCCAAGTAGAGTGTTGAATTTTTTTTTGTAATTAAATAAATAAATATATTCTTTCATCATTCTTCAGATAATCTTTCGCTCATTTCATGAAAAAGGTAGCAACAAAAATAATATTATTTGAATGACAGATTTCTACAGGAAGATCAATACTATTTTACCTCTGGAAAAATGAGTTGATATTAGGACTGTCATTCTACCAGATTTAATATTTGAAGGACAACCTGAAGTGACCTTAGTTCCGTTTTCCTTTTATATTTCTCAATTAAAGTTTTTGATTAATTGTTAATTAAAACATTCTTATTCTGATCGACGTTAACGGATTGATTATTCATTGATAACAAATAAAGTTCAATCTATATTAAAGTGCTTTTTGAAAAGCAAATAAAAGTGAAAATTTATCTGAACATCAAATTTAATTTTGAAATAAAAAGATGATGTTGCCATTTCTAGACGTTTTAACCAAAAAAGAAAATGGAAAATATGAAACATGTGTTTATTGAAAGAGTAGAAATACGAATCTGTACATGAAAAGGGATAGCGCGTCACCACGCTACCAAAAATTAGCGTTAGTAGAATTACTGATTATTCGAGCGGTTAAAACGGGGAGGGCGGATAAGGTAGGTTTCCTGCACCCAATGGAACTGCATTTTTTCTGTCAGAAACATATCAGGGGATTGTATAAAACGTTTTCCACAACTTAATTTTTCAAAATTCTTTTGGAAAACGGTTTTTGACACCTTTGATTCCACAAAAGATTTTAGGAAAAATCTTTTTTCCCACATTTTTGGAAGAATATATAGCATATACTAGCAAGGTGGTCAAAAACCTTCGGAAATTGTTAGTGAAAAGATTGTTCTCATCCAGAGATAAAATAACAAATTATAAGAAGTTATTTTTTCGCGTGGAATTCCGTTACGCTCTATTTCGCATTTTATCTTATCAAAAATTGGTCAAAATTAAAAAAAGTTGAGCTCATTCAATAGAGCTCACTGCCAAAACAATAGAAGAGACTAAATAACGTTAACAGCGCTTAGATTAAACAAACACCTTTGACTGATAAAAAATGCGCTTCAGCCGGCTGTTCGGGTCAACGTAACACATGTTATATAACTATCTGGTACGCGCTTTTAATGAAGTAATTGGTTTTCTGTAGTTTTTCACTTTAGCTCCCACGTTAGACGTGACAGTTAACTGGCCAGGCCACTCAGTCATAGTCTCTCAGAACCATAGACAGAATTTCATTCATGATTATCGAAACTAACTAGATAAAGCGATCCACGAACTACGAAGCATCAGCTACTTTTCAAGAAAGAGCTCTCAATCTGTCAATCTTCAATCTGTCAATCTTCAATCTGTCTGTCGAATATAAGCAAGATTTCCTGTGTTAGATCACGACAGAATTTTATTACAAAGTTGACTACGACATACCTGAGTATTGAAACCCTTTGCACAAACATGTAACGTCTTTGCCATAATAAAACAGATTGGATCTAAAAATAAATTTAAACACAATCCAATAACTCGGTAAGAACCTTACAAAGTGTAATTATAGTTCGACTGGCAAGACTGAATGATAGCAAATAACACTTCAATTCTATGAAAAATAAAATTCTTATCCTTCACATCAAAAATGGCGCTCATCTCTCTTCTGTTTGTTTTTTCCTTCTGTTTATTTATTTATGTTAACGAAACAAAACAAAGGAGGGATCCGCATAAGACTGGAAATCGGCCCACTATATCTTTTGTTTAAAATAATTCAGTGAGTAGTAGAAAAGTATTATCAGTTGTTTTTAACTCATTTCGCGTACATTTGATAACTAAAATCCGAGTAATTCTTTGTCAATAGGGTGCCAATAGTTCACCCCTTAAAGAGCAGCTATAGGTTACGTAAAAGGTGTTTTTCTCATGTTTCTTTTGCGTAGACGACAAAGTAAATATATCACCGGATAGCCCCGAAAATTCTCTACAGAATGTGTGGTACATAACAGTTAATCACAGTACTTCGATAGCAGTAAGACCCTTAGAATAATCCACGTATACAACATAGTAGACAGTCCTCGCTGTTATAGCCCTTTTTCCTTCCAAACAAGAAAACATACATTTTTCTATTATATGCCATTTTGAAGCTCATGCAATTTGCTACAAAGTGAGCTGGTCAGAATATCTAGACAGGAGGGACCAGTCATTAACGATATGCAAAAGAAGCGTTTGGGTATAATATATGCCGCACAGTGTGTCATAATCATAAGAACTCCTTTGTTTTTGAATCTTCAGTAACGGCTGAGACCATATCATCATTTGCATATCGCCATTTTATCAGGAGCGTTATAGACAGCCGGGAAAACTATTTTGTTTAATGGAGCAAAGAATTATGAGGAAGATAAAATATCTCCCGGCTGTCTATAACGCTCCTGATAAAATGGCGATATGGTCTCAGCCGTTGACCCGAATAGCCGGTTGAAGCGCATTTTTTATCAGTCAAAGATGTTTGTTTAATCTAAGCGCTGTTAACGTTATTTAGTCTCTTCTATTGTTTTGGCAGTGAGCTCTATTGAATGAGCTCAACCTTTTTTAATTTTGACCAATTTTTGATAAGATAGGATGCGAAATAGAGCGTGACGGAATTCCACTATTCTGCATTTTGAGCGAAAAAATGACTTCTTATAATTTGTTACTTTATCACCGTAAGAATGATGATGATTCAAAAGTATTGGAAATATGTTAAAAAACCTGTCATGTTGGCTTAACAATAAAATCAGATGGTACAATTAAGAAACGTGCTGATCATGACCATTTGCCAAATGAAGCTGATAAAGAAGTATTTAGTATACGCCAAAATTTAAAACGCCAAGTGGTCGAATCACCGCTACCAATTGATGCTATCGTCGCTCAAACATATACTGGTCTCCAGAATTCAACCGTATGTCAAGATGTTGTAATTCAGTTACCATTTATTGCAACAATGAGAAATAATCTTCAAAAGGAACGTCGCAAAATAAGACCACCACTCCCCAAGAATATTAGCGATTTACCACATCCAATTCCACCTAACTACTAAAAGAGTTCAAATGGTGAACAAGTTGTACTTCATGGTGGCTTAATAGATGGTTTGCGATGTATTATATCTCCAACACCAACAGAAATGTTATACATATCTCACAGTGGAATGTGGTACTGCGATGGAACATTGTACGTTTGTCCATCAATAATTTCTCACATTTATTCCATCCATGACTGTAATGATGGTGGTATTATTGCACCATACTCAATTTTTCACGCTGATTCCGAATATGACCTCAAAATCAAAAACAAAGTTGGGGAACACGACCAGAAATTTAAAATACAGGGATATTCCACTGTATTTGACCTTTAGCACCTGAATATGTGTAT